TTGGTAAGTGTTAGCCATTTTTTATTTAACTGAACAGAGGCAGTGATATAGAAAATTAATTCACAAAAGCTCTTTTGAGTATCTACTGTGTGTAATTCCTATTTATGGGGATTATAAAGAGTATGTAAACATAACTCTTAACCTCTTAAAAGATATAATACTGAAAGAAGCAATTAGAGAATAATAAGAAGAAGGAAGGGATTAAGTGCTAAAATGGTATGCTAGGGGCAGTCCAACTTCCCAGCTTACCTTGGCTATCCATCATTCTCCCATACTGCCGACGTCTGTCCGCGCTCTTTCCAAAACGCTTCCAAAGTTAAAGTCATATCTCCCAGCACTGCCACAGCTTTTGGGATTCCAAATATAATTTGTTTTCAAGTCAGACTGCCCCATCCAAGTTGGCTGGAAATTTATCAAGGTAGTTGAGGATTAATGAGTGTTTCTAACGGATGGAGGGGTGAGGAGAGTTTTCCTGCTCCTTTTGTTTTTTTCTCTTCCCACAGCAGCAGTCCTTCTTAAACCTTACCCAGCACCCTCCTGCTAAAAACAAAAACAAAAACAGAACAACAACAACAAAACATTGATGCCAATATCACAAAAGAAAAAGATTAAACATCTTTACATATACTACTACAAGGAACATTGCCCAGTAATATTGCAGGACACTGCATTTGGATAGCTATTCCCCTGGTTAAACAAACTACCTTTATGCCATTTATATTATTAAATCATCCTTGCTATTGGAAAGTCATTTACACTAACTAAGTTACTTGTAAGCTCTTAGCATTCTCTGCACTCCAATTTCATGTGCTAAAAATAGTCTGGTGTACACAACTAGATTATTTTCTAACTAGATTAGAAATATTATTTTCTAACTAGATTAGAAATATTAAAAATTGACAGAGGCAGAAAAACATACAGACAAGAAAGAAGACAACTTTAAATGACATTGTTTTAAGTCACTTTTTTTAAGTCACGTCGAATGATTATTATAAAAAAAAGTCCTGTAGTTTTGCATAAGTCACTATAGGGAAGAGCACAATATGGACCACAGATATTTTGACATGAGACATCTAAATACAACGGGAGGGGAATAACGGGTGATATTTCTTTTCTTTTCTTTTCACATATTATCCAAATAAAGTTTTACATTTTACTTTTACATTCCTGTTATTTCAAATTCAAGGCTTAACAAGATTTCATGTAGGAAAAATTCTCAAATATGCTACGACACAAGCAAAACTGATCAAGTGGAAGCATGTTAGATCATCAGGCATAGGCCTGAATTATTCAGACAATTGCCCCATTTCAGCTTATCAAAAATGTAGGCTTGGCCTCTTTGCATTTTTAAACAAGATATAATAGGATTATTACTATAAAGTCTCATGCCCTATCACAAAACTGGTTTAAAATAAATAATTGAGAAAACAGTATAAATAAAATCAATCATTTGTGTCTAAGAACTATAACAGTACAATACAGTAACAGTTTATAGACAGAGCACACTTCACAAACTTTAGAGTGCATCAAAATCATCTGGAAAGCTTTTTGAAACACAGATTCCAAGGCCCAAAGCCCAGAGATTCTGATATTAATTCTAATTCTGCTACTGCTGGTACACAGACCATAAATTGGAATGGCACAGGACTGGAGTACTGACAGTCACAGGAATAGCCATACAAGTAATTCTTCTCACTATAGTCCATGTCCTGGCATTAATATAGGTTTTAATCCAACTGTGGGTGCTCTTGTTGGGAGAGAGCCTGCATATGTTTTCCCTAATTTGCCAATGATCCTATATTACAGTTGGGGAATTAAAATATTGATGAACTCTCCAAGACCTAAAATTTCTTTTCGCTATTGCAGAAGGCTAACAGATATTTTTATGGCCTTAGGTCAGCTATGTTTACTCCACATCAATGATCTTTGGAAACTTTATCTAAATTACTGTTGAAGTTGTTTATTTCAGAACTAGGGCAACCAGATCCTCCCTACATCTCTAGAGTATGAGTAGCTTTGTATTGCAGAGGCAGTGGCTAAAATAGACCAGACATTTCCATCAGCTGTTTGGTCATTGTGCTTTTTAGTGAAATTACAGCATGTTACAGTATTTTTCTTTGCAGCATAAACATTGAACAAACCCAGACATCCGGAGATGCTAAAATGAAAAATCTGTTTCCTCTTGCCTTGCCATTTGCCAAGTAAACTCCGTCAGACAGCACATTCTATACATTTCGAGTAAATGAAATTACCCTAAATGTGTTGGCAACATCTGTCACGAAACACTCCTCAGTCTGTGGCTTAAATGGATTGGATGAGAATGGATTTGACAGTATATTTAATGAGGTACAATTATAGTTGAGAGCACTTGTTTTTCCTTAACAACTGAAGGTTTTTGTTTTCTTTTCATTGTTGTTGTTTTCCTTTCTTTTTGCTCTTCAGTTTTTTAATTTAATATCTTACACTTTACAAATGAGATTCTATAATCACTGATGAGGAAAGTGGCTGGCAAACACTATTCTTTATTGTAGATAACCAACACTTCAAACTCTTTGGTTTTCCCTAAAAAGTATCAAAAAATTTGTTTCTCCAAGGAGTTCCTGTCTTTCACTTCCAACCTACCCACTGATTGTAAAGTTCTCCACTCCCTGAAACTGTTAAGGAATTTCTGTTTTTAATAATTTATGGGAGTCTTTTTTTTATTTAATATTTTTACTAAATATGAACAAGAATGTATATCCGTATATATCTTCCCCCAAGAATTATTATTTTATTGTTCCTCTATTTGCAATAACTGCTCTAGTTAGGAAAAAATGTCTCCTTTATATCTTTTTATACTCTGTACCTAGTGCTGCTATTTAGAATTCCAAATTATGACAAATCCCTTCCCACTCTTCCCTTTGATTGCCAGGATTTTGGTTTATACGCAGAAGCAGCACTCACTCTGGCATCTGTAATCAAACGAATCCCCAAACACTTTCTGAGAAAGGATTCTTTAAAGAGACCAGACAATCTTTCCTAAATTAACTCCAAATGCAGGTATTCAATCCTTCTTATCATGCATGGATTTTAATTCATCTGTCAAATGCTCGCATATCTCATTTGCATACTGCCTTCCAAACAAAGACTAAAGTCTACCTCTCCCCACCACTGGGAAATGAGGTCACCCCTAGAGCACTGAGAAGAAAGTATCCTTACCAAACACAATTTGGTCTTTATCTCTATTTTATGAAAAACAATCTTTTGTATGGCTAGGGCGGGTTGTTTAGAATTGAGGGATTTCCAGGATTGTGACAGTTACCTGTATGTTAGACTCTCTCTAGGGGCAAATATTCTAAAAAGATAGATGAAGTCTCAAGTTCAAGTAGAGTATTGAAGTCTTGCGCCTACTAAGTATTAAAATGTTGTGAAAGTGCCACTTTTTGGTTGGAAAAAATGTTTTAGGACTTGTCTTTACTCTGAAGTTATCCTGTAGTTTTTCTCTAAGTGATTTAAGAACTCCAGTTCTTTGTAAAATGTTTACTTCTGGTCTGGCACAGCTGATACCTGAAATGAAGGCCAGTAAGTTTGTTTTTGTTTTTAATATAAAATAAAGGCACTTTTGTTAAATTCAGACAGCAAGAAAAAGAAGTAATATGTCTCTGAATTATAAGTAAAGCTTATCTTATGCCCCTCATTCAAGAAGCATCCTGATGAGTGGCAATTCACAGAAACATCACAAAATTCAAAGAACACAAATACACAACTGTATATATTTACAAGCTACAGACCTATAACATAACGTAGCATAGCAAAACATAGCATATATGTTTTCTGATTGATTCTAGCTCAAATCCTAATGCCTGTTGGAACAAAGCTCACTGTGTATCAAGTATTTCCAAATATTTGCCTCAGTTGCTGTACTCCCTCCACATTAAGGGGAGGAACCCATAAGAAAAAAAAAAAGCAAAGTGATAGCCTGATCCTTTAAGAAATACAGTCAGGAAGTTGGATTTATATAATAACATGAGAAATTAATCATCTTGCGCAAAAAGAGTTTTAGGATACATTTGCTCGTGGGTAATTAATTTGGGGTCTGAGTTCTTGCTATCTACATGAATCTGTCCTAGTTTTATTTCTTCAAAACATTTACTGATTTGGAAAAAAAATCACATAATGAAAAAATAATGTTTACAGAAAAAATAGCATTCAGATACCTAATAATTTTATTACCATTGAGTATTTAAATGAGTTGTTATAGCACAAGTTTCTGCCTTTGTCATCATCTTTAAAATAAAAAATTGGAATTATATAACATCAAAGATTCTATTCAAACCTAGATTTTCAATTTATAAAAAATATTATTCCCTTCTTTACGTTAGTCAATTAAGACAACATAGTCCAATAGAGGAAAAAGAGAGGGAGGGTAATATGGCCTGGCTCTATCACAGTAACCATGTGACACTTTGTATATGGACAGAAATTTTCTTAAAATCTCTGTTATTTCTTGCATTCCAAACAGTTATATTAGATTTTAATATATCTTTCAAAGATATCCAGTTAAGAAACACATCTGGACCAGCCTTATCCTCTCAGTGGTAGATTGTATTGAAGTGATCAAGAATTAGCTGTATAAATCATGGCTAAGTGGCATAAACCAAAATTCTTATTCAATATCAATAAAAACTAGAGAATTCCCATAGTATTCATTTTTTATCCGTCAGAGGAATTGTATTTAGAACAATGCGAGGGAATATATACAATATCTTAGAATACATTCTACATTGAATATTGGAATTGTAAATGACAGGCAATTTAGACAAATCAGAGATAAATCACATCAGAGGAAAGGAAATTGCTAATGTTATATATTTAAATGAACCTAAAAGGACATGGATTGATATAAAAATTATACATAGTCGAACACATTGGATGCTGACTCTTTTACTGTGTTTATTTTTTTTTTAAAGTTTCCTTCCTTATGGAACGTGTTTTCAGATGGACTTTTTGTGTGTTTTTAGGGTGCTGTGATTACACCGACAATGGATCATCCTATGTCAATGCAGCCAGCAAACATGATGGGCCCCTTGACACAACAGATGAATCATCTTTCTTTGGGCACAACAGGAACGGTGAGTTGAAGAGTTTGATTTGTTTTGTTTTCTTGGACTTCCTCAATAAGGTGCCATACTCAGTTCTCACTGGCATTATCAGAAAAATTGGTTCTATACCAAATAAGTTGCATTTGCATACATATTCAATTTTGGGACACACTTACTCACTTGACAAGGCTGAAGGTTCTACTGCATTGCATTTGAATTTGAGTTACTTCTTGTTCTCAAGACACAATCCACGAGGTATAATGTCTGTTTTTTGGAAAAGTGTCTTTATGCATGCACCTGCAAATCTAGACCTTGTAACTTAATACACTTAAACCTGTTTTTCTTTTCCCAGATGCTTACTACTTCAGCTAATATATCATTCCCAGGTTATTCATAAGTGAGGAGCCAATGGCTATTACTAATATACAGGCCTTTTTATTTATTTTCAATGCTTAAATCAATAAAAAGAAATTGAGAACCTGACATAATCGAGTTCTTTTCATCTTCCTTTTAATATGTCGACATAGAAGATGTTGAAAAATAAGAAAGGAATGTAATGTACTTGATCTTTTTTTATAGGTCAGCCTACTTTTGACTAGCCATTATTTTTCCTTAGGGGAAAAATATATTAAAAAATGCCTATTGCAACCTTGATTTTACAACTAAGGCATTTGAAATCATAATCAAAACTTTGTTTTTTAAACATCTATTCAAAGATAATTCCCCAAATGGTCAAGAAGGCAAATGTCCGATACAACATGGAATACTACAACTTTGTTAATTTCCATTATAGAGAGCAACGAAAAACATCAAATTCAACCTCTCATGTGACACCATTGATAAGTTTTTATTTTTTATAAATTTTAATGCAGATAATTTTGTGATTTTTAAAGATGTAGAAAGGAAAAAATCTACTTTCTTCTGACTGAGGCAGCTTAAGTATTATAGAAAGAGCACTGTACTAGGAGTCGGAAATTCTAGATTAAAATCTTGATTGAGCCCTACTGTTTCTATCTGTCCTAGGGAAGACAATATCTTCCAGTCTTAATTTCCACACCCCACCCCCCGGTTGAAGTATTGAATATGATGATATATGGGGCCCCTTTGACTATATGCCTCTATGTTTTTAAACCTCACATGTCTCAGAGTCACCGTTTCTATGATTCTTTACAATTATGCTAGCATCATCTCCAAGTATCGATATATACTATGTACACCAGCTATATATTGGAAATTTTACCATAAAGCAATTGTTTGCTTTCCACATAGATGTGCTGACTTGGGCTTTTTGGAATATAAGAACTTTCTAACATGTCCATTGAGGCCTCAATAATCTGTTCTAAATAGGAAGAAAGTTCATATAACTAATGGAAGGAGTCACTTTGTTTCAATAAAGAAATCTAGTTTTATTAATGTAAATGAAGTGCTTATCTCTGAGGCTTCAGTTGCTGAACCTATAAAATGCAATTGATGATACTTTACTTATCTGAAGGCTTGCACTGGGTCAAATGATTTCTTAGGTCTCTGACCTAGACTTTTAAAAGTCATGTCTAAAATGACATTTAACTCTACCCTGTGGTACAGCAGATTTTCACCAGGGAGATAGAATTTGAAGATATTTCTAGAGCTTTTAGCAATGTATAAGGATTATTTGCTGTCACTTCGTTCATTTACTAACAAAACAGACCCCAAGAATAGTATTGGGAGGACCTGAAGTTTCTCATGGGTCCACTATAGATTTTCCTTCATACCAGCTTTAATTTTCTTAAGGGACCATAAATTCTCAGTAAGTGAAGTATCACGATTTTATTATATTGACAACCTGGAATCTGATAAAAGAGGGAGTTATAATGCAAAGTTTAGCAAAAAACACTTTATAAATCCTACTCCTTTGAATCAAAAGCAAAGCCAGCTGACTTCCTGAAGTTCAAATTTGCAAACTTGAAAAAATATAAGAGCTAAGTTTAATTGAGAATATGACTGAATACTTTGGGGAATTGAAAAATAAGCTAAAATATATAGAACAGATTCAGAATTATAATAGTTATTGATCAATAACATATATTACGATTAGTATTTAAACATTTTCAACAAGAACACAGTTATACAAGACCACAATTTTTACCCAGCTGGTAATAACCAAATCATTCAATAATGATATATACCCCCCTTTTTGTTCTTAGCAAATGTTTTAAGCATATGGCTTATTTTTAGTACCAATTTTTCTCTAGCTTTTTTTCATTCTTTTCTCCCCTCAAATTTGTTCTAAATAATGCGTAGGTATAAGATTTATATAAATTGATGTTTTGCAAAGGTTTAAAATTTCATAAGGTTCTGGAAAGACAGTGGGAAAACAGTATTACTTTGTTGAATTAGTCAAGAAAATATCACTATGTGTATATATTGTTATACATTTTTCTTCAACTGTCGTTCTTATACTTTAATATGCCATCATAGATTCATTTTATGTGAATTTTTGACTGGCATTTGGAATAACTACCAAATTTCCCCACCTATTGCACCTTTTCAAATACTTTATCATTGCTTGGAAGGTGGCCTGTTGTCATGGAAAGAACAGTGGGCACTGGAATCAAACTCATCTTCAAAGCCTGGCTTGGCCCCTTATTAACTATGCATGTTTATACAGGTTATTTAACCTCTGAACTTGTATTTCCTCTTTCACAAAGTGCAAAAAATAATATTTACATCCCAGAAGAGTTGCCAGTGTTAAATGGAATGATATATGTGACATACCTAATAGAATGTGTGACACCTAGTACTAGATGCTTATCAAATGAGCTGTCCTTACTCCCCTACCTCCAGCGGCTTCATACAGATGGTCACCTCATCCAGGTCACCCAAAGGGATGTAGGAAACTATCAAGTCCACAGCACAATTCACTGGCCTGCTCTATTTCATTTCGCATAACATTTCTTTCAAGTTTCCACTTCCTTAGCATCTAATATACTCTTCCAGGGTTGTAAATCCAAAAGTGTATAGAGGCCAGCTAAGTTACATTAATGAATAAAGTTGACTGAGCTCAAGCAAAAAAATCCTAGAAATATAAAGTCCAATTTGGTCTATATTTACCTATGTCATATAATATAAATATACATGATTTTGGAGATTGTATTTTAAGTTAAAGACATTTTTAATGCAATACTAATAACATCTCTGCCTGATTGTTGGATGAACAGTAAGTAAGGAGAGATGGGGCCTTTGGCTGCCTGGAACATGATACTTTGTCTAAAGAGGACAGTCACTGCTCAACTCCAGGTAGCTATCACGACATGGGCATACAGACCTAGAGTGGCCTCAGCTTCCAATTTTTTAAGATAAGCTAAATATTTGGATTTTAATAGAAAATGTTTATATTTGAATGTTGCACCCAGTTTGTCCTAAAAACTCTCAGATTGTGACTCCTGCCCAGAGTTTTCCTAGTTCTCCTCTAACCTCTCTAGCCATTGCTTCTTCTTTTCTTTGACATGATTTCCTTAAGCAGTCTCATCCACTCTCATGGTTTTGAACTCTGCTTGCTATGCCAAAGACTCCTAAATGCTTACCTCATCTTAAAATTTTAGACTGATTTATCTAACTACGTGCTAACTATTCCATGTACATCTCACTCTGACATCTGTCAGCATGACCCAAACTAATCTCATTAGCTTCCCCAAGCTTCTTTCCCACTGACCCCCTTCCTCTTATACATTCTTGCTTTTTATTTCTTCTTAAGTCAATTTCATGACCATTTACCCACGTAGTCAAATGTTACACCCAGAACTCAGTCTAGGCTCTCCTTCTCTCTCACCAACAGATAAAATTACTTTTCAAGTCCCACCAATTTTGTCTCATAGACATTTGTCAAATACATCCCTTACTTCACATTTCTAGATGCTCTTCCTGGGCCTTGTTTGATTAATTATAATAGTCTCCTAACTGTTCTTCCTGCTTCTTATCTCAATTTCCTCCAATCCATTATCCATTATGTTGCCCAGCCAGTCAATCTAAAATTATCTGAGCATGTCTCTCTCCTACCAGTAACTTTTCAGAGGCTTACAAATATCTAAGTTCTCTGAAATTCTGCACTGCAAGGTGTGAGCAGTGACTAGTCAAGATTAACAGAAACTTCAGCTCCAGAAATACCTAGGTTCTAAGGGCAGAGCAGAGAGAAATCCAGTGAATAATCCAAAGTAGGCAGTGGTCAGGGCTAATGGGGAGTTGGAACTAGATTAGAATTTTTCATTTTTAGAAGAGAGGTATTAAGCCATAGGCCAGGTCTCACTTTCTTTTCTAAGATCCCTGGGTAAAGGAAGTATATTGAGCCAAAGCCTCTTTTTCATCTTCATAAAATCAGATATATTTGGTTCCCTAAAACCCCAAGTTTTGAAATAGATACCATGTAGTTTAATTAAACTTTCTCTACCATTTGCCACCTCAAATATTTATTGTTCAATTCTCTACCTATTTTTAAACTGGACAGAATCTGTAGGCTTTAAAAGAAATAAATTTTATGCAAGCTGTGTAATTGTTTTATTCCAGGGCTCTGCTGACCTCGAAGAATTTTCTAGCTTTTCTGCTTTTGTTTAATTTTTTTGTCACAAGAGTCCCTGAGTAGAACCAAAGCCTTGTTATCATAATTTCTTATCGCTCTATTGTAAGCTTTAGCAGAAACCACTGGGGATTTTACTGTGTTATGAGAACCGCCAAATTGCATGACAATCTTGTTTTACAAGTTTCTTATCTCCTTTTCATTTGTTCAGTTGGTAGTCACCAGTGGCTTACAATGTCACCGGAATCTGTTGAAAGAAATAAAGTTTTTGTTCTGCAGGCTTCCTATCTGCAGTTCTGTTTGTGTTCTCCAATCACTGGTGATGCGTGACATCATTGGATTCCCATGGTATAACCATAGCCACTCTCGAAGATAATCTTGTAATTGTACCCCATTTGTTCACCAGAGTTCTCTAACATTTTTCAGTCACAGTATTTCTCCTTTATTCGTCTAAAATTCTGATGGTGTCAGGCAAAAATCCTAAATTATTCATTTTGCTTAAAGAATATCAATTTTTTTTCAATTATTAGTTGTGAATGTAAGTATTAGGACTGAGATTGATAAAAAGTAACATAATGTTAAATGGACACATGATTAGGAAATAGTATAACGAATTCATAAATGACAGTGAATATCACTTTAAATACATTTTTTTTTTCAGGAAAAAATATCAATTAATTAAAAATGGTCAAATACAAGACAGAAAATAAAGATAAAAGGGAATAGATTTTTATTTGTTTAGTCTTATTGTAAGATAAATGAACTTTGAAGGTAGTCTTATAAACAAAAAATAAATAGTCATTAAGTGAAAGTCTAGCATAAAAGTTTATTTGCAGAAATTAAGTTTTTCCTGTGTAAAAATATATCCTGAGTTCAAATAAATTAGCAACAAAATACAAAACTCCAATAGATAAAATGCCAAAGAGTGCAAATAGTTGATAAAGGGTAATATAGAACACCAAAAAAAAAGAAAAAATAATAATCAAAGAAATAGTAATTTAATCAAATACACAGACACACATAACCCATTAAATAAAGTTATAAAAGTAATACACATTGCTAATGAGGATGTAAGGAAGTAAACGTGCTCAATCACTGATATGAGATGATAGGAATCTAAGTTTAAAAAAGCATCAGTTGGATAAGGTGTTCAATGCAGTGTTCTTTACACTACGAAAAAGAATGATTAAATAAATCATAAGCCATCCATAAGCCATCCAGAATGTAACACAGCATGAAGTTATAAGAGTTTAAAATAAATAGGAGAATGTCATTTATAATCTTAAATCAAAAGAGCAGGATGCAAATTTGCATATGTAGAGTACAGTATCAATATGAAAAAAATTATGAAATAAGGCTGTAAGAAATACAAAACAAATGTGGTTATTTCTGGGTGATGTAAATAAGAATAATTTCTATTCCAATCATTTTACTTTTCTACATTTGCCAAGTATTCAACAAAAAGTACAATTTACTTTTATTATTTATTTTTAAATGTTACAAATATATTTTTGGAAAATGATCAGTGGCATGGTCTTAAAATTAACTTTTTGTTTGTTTCTGGTAATATGTGATTGCAGTTTTTAAAAGAGGTACTAGGAATTACTACCATTATTAAACTATTCGGAGATCCTTTAAAAATGATTCAACTTATTCTAGTTTGGGGGATTATAATCAACTCACTAGTTCACTTACCTGTTGCAAGAAGCAAAATAATTCATGCCTAAGGTTTATTTGCTTTTGAATCTTTGATCAGTGTTTGATTTTGCCAGTTAAAGTGCCTTGCAATGTTGAAATTTTAATCTTTCTTCTCATGAGAGAGTAATTAACATTGTCCATTGTGGCAAGGAGATTAAATGGAAAAGTTTGTGATTGTTCAAATTAAGTTTTCAAGTAGGTGGGAAAATGAAGTTTTGAGGTTTTAGTTTTTTAAAATGAAATAATGATCATATAATGAAATAAAGGTCACACAGAACATCTATTAAACCATGCTTTGGCAGTTTATTTGAATGTGAGCAATAACTGGTCCTTTTACTCCTTTAAGGGGAGTTGGGGCAAGATTAGAACTTTTCATTTTTAAAAGGGGGGACTTGGGCCATAGGCCATGTCCCACTTTTCTTTTTTAGATCTCTAGCTAAAAGAATTGTGTAAAGCCAAAGCCACTGTTTCATTTTCAAAAAAAAAAAAAAAAAAAAAGTCAGATATATATGGTTCCACATAACCCCAAATTTTGAAACAGATGCCACGTAGTTTAATTAATCTCTCCATGCTATTTGCCACCTCCAATATAATGGCACTTTGGAAAGAGACAACAATCATCTGTTGAATAGATTCTGTTCTATTTATCTCTGCTCTCATAATTCCAGCACACAAAGCAACTTGGCCTTGACTGACAACCACTGGGATCAGAGCCGGAGCTGAGTGATCAGAATGCATCAGCCCCCATAGAGTATGGGAATGCGCATTTTTCATTTACCTCTTTTAAATTTTCCATTCTTTATTTTTACTTCCAGAACTTTGTTTCATATTGTGCTCTGGGCCCCTTCCAGATGGGCTGCCTTGTAGAATTTTTGTGTCAGTCAGAGAGGGTACAAATTTCACACTGATTCCCCAAGAAAGGGACCAAAATTATGACAGACAGAGGAAGATGACAACGCTCTGGGATAGACCGTACTGCCCTCACAGGTCACATGGGTCCTAATAGTGTGCCCAATGTGTTGGTAATGGAGACTATTGTATCAACTGTAAACTAGGGGTCATAGTTCCTTAAGAGCTTGAAGGCAGGGGGCTTAGGCAACCATATGACATACAGTGGGCACTTCCAAGTTTTAGAGCTAAAATTCTATTTTATTTTCTTTTGTACTTCATTGCATTCTTTCTCATGCTCTTTTCATTCAAAGATTCAGTCCCAAGACAGGATTATGATACTCCACCAGCTGTTGTGTCAGGTAGGAAAATTCTAATTCCTTTAAGACTTGATTGGAGGGGAGAGATGGAGGTTGCCTGGTTTTCTCCACAATTCTTTAAAGCAGTGATTCTCAACAGGGCTGGCTGCAAGGAATTTGAAGTTCAGTTCCAAGGCAAGGGGTGAGGGGTAGGGTGGGCGTAGCATGGTTCAAAAAAAGTATATTTAATATTCTAATCTAGTTTTGTGTCTAGAAAATAAATATGTTGCTGTTGAAATAAAATGTAAAAGCTCAAAGACATTTGGTCTGTGAAGGATACACAGAAAATAGAGTCTATGTTCTGTGTATCAGTAATTCTCAGTGTTAGAAGGGTTCGTTAGAATTTCTTGGAAGTGGGAGGATATTTACGTTTATCAAAAGAGGGCACAGATTAATTTTTTAAAAAAGTAGTTTGAGAAGCACTGCTTTAGAGACCAGAATTCTTCTGAAATCAGAAAATCATCCCATTTTGCTTGCTCAGCACCCAACATAGTGTCTGACCCCATAGTAGGTGCTCAATATAATTGTGTGTTGAATGAATCAAAACTTCAAATTTGTTCCAAAAATGGTATTTTGGATATTGAAAGAGAAGCTGCCAATGTTCCATTGGTACAACAAAGTGGCAGAGATTAATTTGAGAATACATTAGCGTCAGGGATTTTAATCAACAATACTTAAATTATTTCACAAAATTTGGTGGTGCAGTTTATAATAGGGTACATGTATCTGAAAAGGTGGGTTTTCATTTTGAATTGCACAGTTCTTCTTGTGCTTTCATCTTAGCTTTGAATTTCGCTTTCTTGCAAAGAGTAAAATGGGCACAATTTTTTCATTTTTTGTTGATTTTTTTAACTAAATAAAATACTGGCAGCATGAAAAGCTTTGAATTCTTTGATCCTTTGATGTGTTAAATGATGAGGACATAAAATCCAAACCAAGAAGGGCATTGGAGAAGCAGAGCAAGAGATGAAGGCCAAAAATAGAGTTGAAAGAGCCCATCAGGCAGTAGAGTCTGGCAACTGAACGGTGGTTTACAAGCAGAGAACATCATGTTCTTGGCCACCCGGTTTGCTTGACCACCATCTGAAGAGTAATCCTTTTCTCATGTCTCCTGGACTTGTTTAATTATGCTCATGGATGAATATGCAACTTACAAGTTTAATAGTGAAACGATGAGTTAGCTTTCAACTGTGAAGCTACTTTGGTCGTCTAGGAGAGCTCTATAAATTGTCATTAAGTAAAACATCACTTATCTTTCTCCAAAGTGTATTACCTGTCATATTGTAATGTGCCTGTTTTAATAAGGATGTGAGACCCTCAGGAAGGTCCTTTGTTTAATGTAGATAGCCTTTACTTTGTTTACCATGTGGTGTCTGTTTAACAAGAGGCATCTACTCTTAATAATTCACCAATATTAATAAGAAAAGACACAAACTAGAACTTTGCTTCAACTAGTTTTCCTGATGTTAGTTTCCAGAACATAATGAAAAAAGCAATGAAAACATCAAAAGCACTGACTAGATATCAGCCATTAGTTAGGCTCTACACTTTGAGGCAGAACATCTGGCAGCAAATCTAGCCTTCGAATTCCTACCTAATTCCGTAGACAGGTACCATCGAAAGTTCTTGAGCAGGGAAATTACTTAATCAAAGGAGTGCTTTGAGAAGAGTAATCTGGCAGTTTCGTGTGTGCTTGAGCAAGAAACAGTAATTACAGAGAACAGTTAGAAAGCCCAGCTATGATATTGTTAATAATAATAATAATAATAATAATAATAATAATAAAATGCTAAGATCCCAGCAAGGAAGGGACTAATCTAGAAGTGACAAGAAAAAGAATACTTTGGATGACTTACAGTTGTTTTCCTCTGATAAAATTGAACTGGTGGTTTGACATTTTATAAATTTACACAGCTTTCTTTGCCTCTTTGATCTACTTCTAAATGAAAATAGACTTGGCTGCCTAAAATGGTGTTAATTGTCTAGTGGGCACAACTTGAGTGACTTTTGAAAAATCGCATATCTGTTGCCCAGCTGTTGACCAAATCAAGAAAGTGAAGCAGGCAAAAGTATTCCAATATTTTTTTAGAATATTTAGTTGGTTCCCACTATAGGATCCAATTAAATTGTCATAATGTATCAGAGTTCAAGACATCTGCCTGGTAATCTACAAAGACATAACCCAACCTAATTTATTGAATAAATATGTCAAACATTTATTGTCAAACATTTTTTAACATCTCTGAGTGTTAGGCACTACATTCAATTACTGAGCATATACAGATGAATATGAAAGACCATTGTTAAAAAAAAATCATCTAACTTAATGTTGTGGTTGTTGTTGTTTAAGTGTATAAAGTGTGTAAAATCTAAAAAGGTCAGAAACTCTCAGGAATAAATGAATTCTGTGCTGGATTTGGATGGACAAATAGGAGTTTACCAGTTGGACAAGAGTGGGAAAGAGACATGAATCAAATGGGACAGGAAATGTAAATTCTTAGAGACAAGAAACAATGTGAAGTGATTAGATGACAGCAAATCATTTGTTATTCTTGGGACAAAATGTTGAATTGGTGGACACTGAGACTGGGCTGCTAGGGT